GCAATATATATTGAAACAGTGAAAAATACTGCTCTGCTGGTATCATCACATTGTTAGCAGATGTCCAGGCTCAGTCCCACAAATTAGCAGACACTCAAACGTGGATGCATAAAGTATAACATCTGTGTAATTATGCATGTGTGCTGTAGGCTTTACCAAACCAGCATTCTTCTGGTCCAACAACTGGTCCCCTGCTGTCAAGGCATCCCAGTTCTGCTGCTTGATGAGATCTTTTACTTCCTCATTAGGCAGACTTATACGATAGTTAAAGTCTCCACACCAGAACACATAATCATGTGAATACAGCAGACGGCCCTGGAGGGTAAGATTGATGTTATTAAGCATTTAACTTAGACAACAGGGTGTTTTCTTGACTTAATAATGTTATGGTTATTACCATGGGGAAGCTGAGTCTGCGTGTAATCTCATTGTAGTCGTCATTCCTCTCTTTGACCTGTGATTGGCCGGCAGCAAAGTGGGAGCAGACGAAGCAGATGCTGGTGGTATGGAACAACAGGCGGATTGCCACACCTCCTTTATTACCTGTGGCGCCACCCATTCCAGTTTTTACAGTATCAACAGCTACATCCCTGGAACACAACGAATATCAGATTACATCTACTACCATACACCCCTAATTATATAACTACTAATGCGGTTTCTGTGCAGCTTATACCTGATAAATGGTGCATGTTGTGGGCGGATGAAAACAAAAAGACACACTCCCACCAGCTGCTCTGAGGCAAGCAGCACATACTTGTGGTCCCGTGAGATATTTTTTTGGAGCTCAGCAGCCCACAGCTTCTGGTTAGTAGTACTGTGACAGGAACAAAATGAGGCATTACAGTGCAGATGATAAAGTTAACCCAATTATCATGTTAACTGTCTAACTGTTAGAAAACCCTCAAAGCAGTTCATGTCATAGTTCTGGCATTGTCTAATGACCTGACAAGTTTTAGCAAACTCAGGTCCAAACTGTAAATCCGCAACACCTTTTTTTTCTACTTTATTTATTTTTCACTTTTAAAGCAATCAGTGTATCGTTAAAGCTTATATTTCTTATCTTCAGTTTTTTAAAGGAAAAAAAAAAGCTCTAGTGTTGTTGTAATAACTACGAGACAAAGGTCTTTAATCTTAGATCACGATCTTGCACACATACCTGGCACTGACAATGTTTCCCGCATTCAGTTCAACCATTTCCTCAAAACCGATGGCAAAGATATCTATGGGGTTTGTTCTGCTGTCTGTAAAAAGGACAAAAATCGAATTAATGATCCATACGTGTAAACATTCTAATACCTTGATATATTCCATCATAAGAATATGGAGGATTTCAATAAATGTCTTTTAACTACACATGCATTATTTCAATTTTAACTAATAAAAAGTATGTTGGCATAGTATTGCATAATTACTGTAGGAACAGCAAAAGTGATTAACTATACTGGACCTACAGGGTTCTGATAAAGGACAGCAAGCAAGTCTATAACTGTACAAGTTAGTCAGAAAATATCAGCATCTTAACATTTATACCAATAAGCATTAAGTACCAGAAAAGGAGCATGAAAATGTATTCATAACAATCCACCTTTTCTAGAAGCATTAATTACAATTTATTGTACTCTATAAACGTTAAATGATCAGATTTAGATGTGACATCAAACTTATTTTGCCATTCCAATTGCTATCTCAGTTTCGTGAACTTATATAAGCAGTAACTTTTCATATTTAGTATAGACATGAGAATTTTTCCCATCTAAGGGAAAAATGTGCAAACTGTCAGAAAAAAACAAACAAAAAAACCCCCCCACCCAAATATTTCTCTTACCCAATAAATGCACCTAATAAATCTACAGATATATAAATATATATCTGTAGATTATATATACAAAAAGTCCAAAACACTGACATACCCTGGAACTCAGGATGTCCTGCATTCTTTGGAGCATCCAGCAGCCAGTCGTTGAGTGTCTGGTTGCGAAAAGCAATGCTTCGAAACTGTTTACCCCCATTGACATTCCAGGTACCGATGCAAACACGAATCTGCTTGGGCCTTGTGTATTTATGGTAGTTCTGACACATTCCCAACAATACTCTTGGAGATGCTGCAGAAGGGAAAGGATTTGAATTAAAATGTAATTCTACAGTTAGTTTAGTAAGTTTATGTATATATGGACGGCTGCACTCAGGGTAACAAAACTAGAATGGGAAACGCTAACCAAAAGCAACAAAACCAATGGAAATATACTATGAATGAAGACCACAACAATGTCATAAAACATGGGGCATGGGAGAAAAGGATGCAAATCAGAGTGCTGAAATACAACAAAAGGTTCACATAATCAACCTTGGTAATGGTTCACTGCTGTCTGTAAAATTCCACTTAAAGGCGTGTTACATTTCAATGCAAAATTAAAAACATCTTTTTTTTAAAAATTACAGTTTAAGAAGCCTGATGATATGCAACAGATAGTCAATTAAACCACTACCAACACTGGTTTTCAAACAAATGGAAAATAAAAAGTAAAACAAATTATAGGACAAGGTTATGACAGGGTAGAAAAAGATCCATCCACTGGGTAGCAGTCTGCCAGTTACTATACCTGATTGTAAGACAGGCTCAGTGACTACAATTGTGTGCGAAAGCAGAGAGGGAGAAAAGGGAAAGAAGTGTGGGTTAACCAGCGCTGTAACAGTTAATACTGGCAAAGCAGTCAGTCAGGCCGGAAGAACGTTAATATTAAGCTTCCCACTTTAGTGACACGGTAGCTTTTGGCTAACAGGGCTATAACATACAGGAGCATACAGAAAACGTATCTAAGCAAAGAATTTTCTCTTGATGGCAGAGAAAGAAAATTATATTATGAACATTAAAATGTAACTATTCACCCAAAAATTTTAGGCAAGATACATCCACTAATCCAATGACCCCACCCCCAGCATTTACCATAAAGACTGGAAGTGGTGAGCAAAGCCCGAGCTTTGTCTGCCAAATCACTGTTGAGTGTGGAGCCTAGCCTCAGGATGTCTATAGCCTCCTGCTTTGAACTGTCAAAGAAGTTGTTCTGGATGGTCCGAGTCACAGAACGAGCTCCATCTTTCAGCTTCCCCGCCTACAATAACGACAGGTAT